CTCTCTCTTTCTCTCTTTCTCTCCCTCTTCCTGCTCCATTTTTCCTATTCCGGTACTGTTTCATTTTTATATCCAGAGCACATTTTTATTTTCGACGATATGCGAGTTTTAACGAAATCGTGCGACCGAGATATCCGTTTGCCTCGATTACCTTCCGTATCAATTTCGCGGTGGAATCTCATATCGGTAGCGACTGACTTTGAAACGTCAGCATATATACGTATATACGTGTAATTTTTTACGTAACAATTTGTTTCTAATCATGACGTGTTTGTTCGTATAGGAAAGCAACGATTTCGACGAATGTTATTTTCTTGCGTTATCCTCGGTTGGTCTTTTAGGCTAGGGAATGGGGAAAAGGTCGAGCGTCGATATCGAGCGAGACTTCCCCTTTTTCCCAAGAATATATACTATACGGCGAAATATACGATGGAATATAGAATATCGTTTCGCCAAGGTAGAAAGTGTTTCCGCGCATTAAGGCCGTATCATTCTCTCCAACGTCGATACTTTCCACTGGTCAGTTCTTTACCTTTCTTTCTGTTCGTGCACAACAACGACTCACCACGGATATATCGAATTCACCTCCCTCGCGTGAACGGTAACGAACTCGTTTTCACGCGAGATCGTATACCGCGATGTTTCCATATACATACGTATACTTTGAGCAACCGACGAGACGCTCGAAAGCGTAACCGATCGATATTACTTTTCCAACTCTATTGACATATTTAACATCGAACGTTATTTTTATGACTGCTTTGCACGAGTAAGTACGTACCGAGTACGTAATACCGTTGCTTCGGAACCTGTTGACGCGATTAAGCGTAATCGTCCCCGATTTCCCGTGTATACCAATCCGGTGTCTTTCGATTCCAGGCGGTGTGTGTTCGCAACAGAGAAAATGCAATCGGCGCGTTTGGAATTACGCGATCCACGTTTCGTACACCCTTTTTTTCGTACACCACGTTTCGCGATCGAGACGAGCTTCGACTCGCGCGATCGTCTTTGCTTATTTTCTCCGACGCGTCCTGTGCATACACATCTCTCGAAATCGGACCAATCGTTCCTTCTCTTTCCGTTTATTCCCACCCTTGCTTTTATTATCCTTCGTTTACTTTCCCTCTGTGTCTTTCTTTTCTTCTCCCCTATTTTCCCTTCCCTTCCCTTCCCTTCCCTTCCCTTCCCATCCTTCCATCCCTTCTTCCATCGTAACGTGCCATTGTTAATCGCATTGGTAAATGGTCGGAACGGGACACCGGAATGTAATGTTGAATTCTTACAATTAGAAAACTATAAAGCAGCGATATTTTTGACGGAATTTTTGTATCGACTTAGTCGGAAATCTTTTGAAAGCGATGAAAATTGTGATCGGTGTTACACCTTGAATTAATCTTAAGCGTTACATTCGATAGTTTGCTGTTGTTGACGATAACACGTAGAAAGATCCCCGAGATCAAATTCAGGTGAAAATTTGCAGATTTTGCATACATTATACATACGTGTATTTACGCTCGGAAAGTGTGCGTGTACATGTGCGTTTGCATATACGTGTCGTATCTGTGTGCGCAAGCGCGTGTATTTATGTATATGTGTAGTCGAATGTGCGGTGTGTTCTGAAAGAAACAGCACGACGAGTCCGAATAGAACGGAAAGCGAGGGGCGTCGCGTAGGGCGTTTAGGGTAGCGCGTTTAACATAGCGCGTTTAACGTAGCGCGTTTAGGGTAGCGCTTCAAGTTACGGGCGTATGTACTTAGATGCGTTTGCGGCTCGAAAGTGTCGTACTCGATGTCGTGGCAAAGATACGCTTCGAGCAACGTGGTCGACGAATATTTTTACATTCAGTGGTTTTACAAGCTAACGAATAGTCGAATAGTCTAGCGTGTAAAAAGCGTGTTGCTTTTTAGACAAGCTACGTATCACGCCAGCGAGATCGAGCGACGAATTAGCACGCGACGCGAGATGTAACAGATTTTTCTTACCTATGGATCAAAAACTAGTGGAAACTTTGATCGTTCGGTAACACGAACCCGACGGTACTCGGTTGCCGCGTCAAACACGACGCACCCGCGCATGCACGCACGCACTCATGCACTCACGCACGCATTGGCACGCGCGAGCACGCAACACCTACGCACGCACATATGCACAAACATGCGCATTTTTGAATAAATTTTGGAAACACTTGCACGCATACGCATCGCACATGTGTGTACACATAATTATCGAGTAGCACAAAAACCAGTTAGACTAACGTTTGTAATATCGTAGCCTGTGTATATTATACCGTTGAAATGCGAAACGCAACACGAAAAATTACGATTTGGCGTAAACCTGTTAGAAACTTACGAAAAAGAAAAAAGAAAAAAAAAAAAAAGAAAAATTGAAAAAGAACAAAAAAAGAAAAGCAGCGACAGAGAGAGAGAGAGAGAGAGAGAGAGAGAGAGAGAGAGAGAGAGAGAGAGAGAGAGAGAGAAAGACGCGTTGAAACGAGTCCAAACTCGAACGAACGTTTACACCGAATGGGCAATGTGTCATGATCATCGATGTCAGGATCCGTGGCGCTTAATCGTTAAGCGAACGTCGCTCGATCGCGTTTGGCCGATCGTGATGGAACGCGCGTTGGCGCGATTAGTTTGAAAATTAGCCCATAATTGGATGAAAAGTGCCAAAAGTAAACGACGAATCGAAGGTATTTTCCCTTTCCGATTTCTCGATTTTCTCGCTTGCTCCGAACGCTGCAATCTGCGATACGGATCGTAGCGAGACTAAGGAGTATTGGCGAAACTCGCGTAACAACGACGATCGGCGGCCAACGGCATAGTTAAATGACCAGGATATATCATGGATGAAACAGACGCGTCGTAATTGATCGGATAAGACGTATTTATATCGGAGTGCGTACGTATATCGTGCCTTGTACGTTGTACCATGTACGCTTTCACGATATAAACACGTGTACGAATAATCGTTCGCGTATATCGCAGAGATTCGTTGTTCGAGGTATCGATTATAAATCCAACGCGTTCTCTCACGCAGGTGGAACGCGAGATAATTCTAAAACCTATTTTAGAACGAAGCGAATAGCGTACGCGAATCAAGTACGCGTTAATTCCAACTGGATGCGAATTGGGCCTTATACCATGGATTACCTCAATCGTAAGCAGCTTGCGAGTCAAGTTCCAGTTTGCGATAACGATAGAACGAGCGTTAATAAGATTTTAAACCGATCCCGCGAGAACGACTCGCTATTCGATTCGGTCAGCCAATCTAGCGAATCGATCATTGTCTCGAGTTCAAATTTCACGTTGGACGAATCGCCGTTTTATCGCCTATTATTATTATTATTATTATTATTATTATTATTATTATTATTATTATTATTATTATTGTTATTATTATTATTATTATTATTATTATTATTATTATTATTATTATTATTATTATCTCTTCGTGCCCGACACGATCGTTCTTCTCTTTTGCCGATCTGAGCTGTAGTTGAATCGAGAGCGAGTCGACGCGGGGACAAATTGACAAGGCGTATGACGCACTGCGTCAAACGATATTACTGTCTCGTCTCTTCTTCTTCTACTTCTACTTTTTCTTCTTCTTCTTGTTCTTCTCCTTCTTCATCTTCTTCTTCTTTTTCTTCTTCATCTTTTGGTCTTTCGTTCGATCCAATCATAAAAAAAGGAAAGGTACGACATTCCGTTTTATTATGGCAACCCCTGCTTTTTTTCTTGAACTCGAGTGTCGATATTTATATGGACTTGAACGCGAGTGTTTGTACGGAGAAAGTGTCACACTGTTTCCAGAGCCTGTGACTGAAAAGTTTCGAACGAAAATGGGAAGGAAGGAAGGAAGGAAGGAAGGAAGAAGGTAGCGAGTGATTGGAAGAGCAGATGGAGAAACGATTAGTTAGAGCAGATGAACGTTTATTTCGGACAGGCGAGACGAACTCGCTTGTCTTGATTCGGATAAAATTGTCGAAACGAAGGATACGCGTTAACATTCGATGGTGAAATAGAAAGCAGAAAACGTAGAGAAATACATAGTTAGAGAACGTAGAGGATATAAAGTGATGCGGCCCTCGCGATTACTGGATACGCGATGGAGCCACTCGAAAGACGATTAAACGGATCATTTTCGCGACAGCGTAATCGTTTGACATATTGCTCGTGGGTATGTATTTATCTATGTATATATACGCGTGCAAACGATATATAGGACGAACAGGGTTCCGTAGATCGGTGTCGAGGAAGCAAGCGCGAACATACACAAATGGAGGAAAAGAGGAAAGTGGTTATGGAAGGGTGTGATACGGAACGAAGAGGCGAAAGAAATTTCTACGATCGATAGCGTTCGATCGCGTAGCAAATTCCCAAGTCGAGACTCCTCTTACGCGTGTCCGGCTCGCAGCGCGCAACGCTGTATATTTTTTAGCTTCGTATTACGTGTATACACACACCTGCACACGCGCGCACACACACACACACACGCATACACGCACAAACAGATTTGTTTCACGGAGAGAGGGTAGGACGGAGATGTGGATCTAAGAGGAAGGAAAAATCGTTTATTCCTAAACGAGGTTGTTCGATCGAAATATTTTTGGAAAAACAGAAAAGAAAATAAGAAAAGCGAACGAACGTGTCTGGTTTGAAAAGCTTATCTCGCTTTCGCCACGATACCGATATCGTTCGTTGGTCGCGTGTGTCGGAAATCGTACGAGATCACGTGAGATCCGACTTTGGAGTACGACTTCGTCGCTCATACAAATTTAACGCTGTATCGTTTCCTTGTCGTTATTTATTCCCTGTTACACCTTATCGATCCGATCTATATAACTCCTTGCGCGCGCGTGCACGCACACGCAAGCACGCACCACATTCGCATCCACTCACGCGGCGCGTGTCCAAGCCCTAGCATGCAAACACAACAAACACTCCCACGTGCACACGCGCACGCATGCACGAACGCAAGCACCCACGCACGCATGCTCGAACGCACGCACGCACGCACGCTATTTACGCCACACGACCTCTCGCCCTTTCCTCCCAGCTCAAAAGCCGAGTTATTCGCACGATCCAAGTATACCTATGCCATACTGCTACCTAGACCTCTCTCGTCCACTCCTCGACCCAACGACAAAAGCGCATCGATTAACTCTTTACCGCTTAGCAGTAAGCTCGATATCGCTGTGTGTTTCCTTCGAAATATCGTTTTACAAACTGATATCGTTGACGAACTGATCGAACGGAGGCGTTTATTATTTCCTGAATATCGCTTGATGCTCGACATACATTGTATATCCGAATAAAGAGAATTTCGTTTGGGAAACGAAAACTTTGTAGCTTACTCTCCTCTCGTTTCCGAAATAATTCCTATTCGTTAACGCGCAACAGCTTCGTCCAGTTACGAGGACATGCTGATAACGTTGGTTCGTTCGAGAAGTCGAGTAACCGTCGATGCTAATTTATACGATATCCGTTCCGTTAACAGTCGAGTCTTGATCCCAGCGGTGTTTAATGCCAACTGATACAGGTCAGCGTAAAACTATAAGCGGAAACAAAAGAAGAAGAAGAAGAAGAAGAAGAAGAAGAAGAAGAAGAAGAAGAAGAAGAAGAATGGCAAATATGAGAAGGTAAGGAACGGAAAAAAGAAGGACTGGAATGGAGAGAAAAATGGATAGGATATTTCTCGTTACCTTACTATCTTCGTCGTCGAGTGGTAAGTTGGAGAATTCGGAGCTGACTTCGGTACAACGTATACGCATAGTTCGCGAGGGAGTTACCAAGAGCATCAGGTTTGTACGCTAAAGTAAGAGAAGGAAAGAAAACGATTTCCCGTGAAACGATAGTCAAGGTACAGTTATACATCGTTACCGATTTGTTAGTTCTTCGTTACCTGTTTAGCGATGCAACCGTGCACTTCTTTGAACTGTAAAACTATCTCTCTAAAATCTCGTGTGGCGTTCCATCGTGACCAAGAAAACGCATAGGAAGTGGATAATAGAGCCATGCACTCTCTCAAGTGTCTTTCCGCGATCGGGTGTTTGATTGAGAATCCTTTTAAATAGCTGGCAGCGTCCCGTTCCGGAAAGAGGTCGCATCCAACCTGTTGCAATCGCTACGAACGGCATATGCTCGTTACTTTCGTAAACGATTCGATCATGAGAGAAAAATGGAAAGAAGGCAAAGGAGGGGGAGAAAGAAAGAGAGAGACTGCTCCAAAACGGATTACCTACCTCGATCAAACATTCCAATTCGAAATATTCACCGAGCATTCCTTTGAGCGGTGTGGACGAAGCACCGGTGAAAGAGTTCAAACAGACTCGATCCTCCTATACAAACGAAAGAAAGTCGAGGTCGCTATCATCGTTTTTCGACCGTTCGATTTCAAGGGAAAGCACACTCGGCTGAAATTATACGGTACGTAATAGGGATATCATTCGTATGTAATTCCGAGGTACACGATTCACGCAAACATTTTGTAACTCGTGAAAATTCTTACACCACGCTCTTTCGAACGAGCGATTCGACTTGTAACGATTCCTCGATTAAACAAAAAACGGGGGAGGGGGGAGGGGGAAAGAATATCGGATTTCAGCCGAATTTCATGTTCCCGGTATAAATGCAAACGACTGTGTAAGCAAGTGCAACAGCAGGATATTCGCGACAGCGATAATTCTGAAAAATACCCTGATAACGAACTCGGCTTGTACCGTGGCCGCTGTAACGACGAGAACCACACCGGCATAATCACGGCCACTCTTTCATAGCCAGCCAGTCCATGGATACCTAATCTTCCCGTTCGAAACGCGATCGTTTGTTTCTCCTCGTTGAATTTAACGTCGTGCACATCCTTGGTCGACCATATCCTTTTCTCCGGTAACCAGTGAGCGACCAACGGTGGCTCGAACCAGAGAATCGAGTCTGGTAACCTGTGTCAAGTAACAACGACGCGAACAACGGCAAAGCAGATAACGTTAAAATACAAATATAATACAAATATGAAATTTCTAGCAGGAAGGTAGAGGCAATTTCCTTGTATAAACTAACTCGAGGGTAAGCAAAACGAGAGCATCCATCGCCTGTTCCAAAGCTTTCATCTCAGCCTCGATAATTTCTGGCGTTCTCTCGGAATCTGGCGCTGATTCGGGTGTTTCGTACGTTCTAAGGAACGGTACAAATTTCGGCTCCTTGGGTAATTCGACTGTACAAAACGTAAACCTGTTTCATTCGAGAGTGGTAACCTATAAGAGTGGTAAGCGGTATACGGTAACCATCTCGGTACTCACGAGTTGTCAAACTAGTCTCTTTTCCGAGATCCTTGGGTTGAGGCGGTTGATACAAAAGATCCACGCGAAATACACCACCGAGTATTCTATACTTTCGTAAGTTTACCTCGGTTTTTTCGCATCGAATGAATAGCAGTTTTCTGGTTTCCAACCTAGCTTTCTCTGCGAACAAAATCTTTTACTACGCAAAACTGACCTGTTATCGTCGAGCAATCGATCAGCAATTTCAATTTTACCCTCTCTTTCACGAACGATCTCGTTCGGAGTCGGTAAATAGGGCAACAACTCCGTTTTCGAAGGCAACATCGAGGTCAACGTCGATTCGAACTCCGATTGCTCACCTTTCGCTGAATGTGCTTTTCTCTGCTTTTTACCTCGTTTCCTTCTCTTATCGTATCGCGGTGAAACCGGTGGATGCTCCATCCTTTCCAGAATCGCTTTTTTCTCTTCTAAACGCAAACGTCGTCCCTCTCTTTGCTTTTCTCGTATTCCAAGCTTTTCTTCGTACTCTCTCTTCGAGAATTCCAGAAGACCTTAAGAAAAGAAGCTTAAGATTAGCGCGAACGATCGAAGAAATATAGAGATGTAACGATATACGTGCCAAGAGAAGGATTCCACAATTGGAACAAATATTCCGGAAGCTCGGGCATCCGATAGGAATTCGTTTCAACCGAATAATGGTCGTAAGAAAGCGAAAGTCCTCTGATCGCCATGCGATGGCAATCCAAATCGGTCGGCATTTTAATCGTCAGTTTCATTTCTCCAAATTCTACTTGCACCGACTTTCTGCTCAAGTGTAAACGTTAAATACACCATTGAACGCGAATTTTAATATGTAATATCTCGTAAGTTCACGTAAATTCTCGTAAAGTTCACTTTCCTGAACACGAATCGGTAATCGAAATTGCTCTGTCATCCTCGTTTTCCGGAAAGAAAGAAGGAAAAAGAAAAAGAAAAAAGAAATGCGAGTTGCTCTAAAAATGTACGAGTTTTCGCTAAAATAAAGTAATACATAAAGAGTAAAAAATTGCGTAAGAACGAACTTGCTAACGTTCTTACTTTTTACGTAATACTTCATTTTAGCCAAAAATCGCGCGTCTCTCTCTAACTTTCGAAAACCGAGAGTAACAGTGCAACTTGGATTACGGATGCGTTTTCAGGAAAGTAAACCGTACCAGAATCGCCTAGTGGATATTACAGAGTAGAGAAATAGTTGCAATTCGTTGAACAGTGTTATTATCGAAGTGCTGTTAGACATTGGCAGCGTGGAAAAACTTTACCGTGGTGCGATTAGCGACGATCGTTCTCTATCCGTTCCCTGTCGCTTCATTCCTATGGGCAACGTGAGCGGGGCCCAAACGCAACATACCGCTTTATCAGTGACACGAACATATCTGGTTGTTTTCGTGTTTTCTCTAATCATGTTCGCCTCGATGTTACGTAGTAATCGATAACAGGCAAGATCGATCCATCGTTGAAGCTTGATCCGAAGCTCAGCAGCGATCTGCGATGTGCGCGTTAATCGTGCGAAAAGAATTGCGGGAAAAAGAAGGAGAAGAAATCTACTCACCGATTCGCATTCAGTCACGTAATCCTGCGAAACGATCGTGGAAAAGCGAATGATTTTATCGAGCTTGTTCAACAGCTGAAACACGACATAATCCGTCAACCTAGTCGACGATTAGGTACGATCCCAACGTCGGCCACGCGTGTTACTTACCTGTGTGATCACTCGACATTTCTCCTCCATGGTACTCATACTCGCCTCTTCGTTCTTCAACGACCAAAGGAACAAAAACGTGTTCATGTCGGACAAGGAGCCAGGATCCGGTAGACCGTCACAAGTCATGTATCGAGCCCACTAAAATTTAACAGGGAACTTTAAAAGAAATCACCGAATGTTTCCGCTTGACTCCGATCGCGTTGTTCTACAAGATACCAACGTTCTCCTCTTGCTCCAGATTCAGAATGTTCTTCGTGTACGCTGTCCAATGTCGAGTGAGAACAAAATACGTTTGCTTCAGCTGACTTTGTCGAATAGCCGCCTCTTCCACCTCCAATTCTGCTTTTCGTTTCTCGTTGTATTGCTCCAAACGAATCTCATTTTGCATGTCTTTTATCATTTCATTTCTGCATGATATCAAAGAGGAAGAAGAAGAAGAAGAAGAAGAAGAAGAAGAAGAAGAAGAAGAAGAAAAAGAAGAAGAAGGAGGAGGAGGAGGAGGAG